CCAAGTGTTTAAATGAGTTTTACCCTAATTCAAAAAAGATGGATTTAATTTTCACCTATAAAAATATTATTAATTATAAAGGAAAAAAAACATTGGCAACCAYAGTATTTTCAGTATTTTGTTTTAATTTAAAATGTTATTTACATTTTCTGTTTATAAAACTCTAAAAGTAATTAACGCCAATGCCCAATATATTATAAATGCAAAACGTATAATTATTATTAGTAATAGATATGATGCAATAAAATTAAAATTAATATATTCATTAAAAGCTAAATATAATATTTTCCTATAGTAATTTATGCGATATTTTTAATATCCACATATTATTGATCAAAGCTATGCAGGCACATGAATGTTATAAATTACGTTTTGTGATTTTCCGTAACAAAATGTTTTTTTTTGTTTGTAATAAATAATATTTCTTTGTGTAAAAATCAGCTCTTTTTTGAGCTTGGAGCTTTGCGCGAAAGCAASTAGGTACGCCTGTCTTGACATTAGATTCTCTGTAGAAACCACTGCAGGTAACGATTGACGAACATAAAGTAAATAAAAAAAGCTATGCAGGCATATGGATATTATAGATTGTATTACGTGGTTAACAAAATGTTTTTTTGTTTTAATTTCCAAGAATGTAATCGACRTTAAGGGGATCGGTGGCGGACAGTTATTTTACAAAAGAATAATAATTTATGRCAGAATTGACATTGTTAAATTTTACCTTAACGAATGGGGATTAATTGTTATTTGTTGTATATGTTGACGACGAAAAAGTTTAGCATTTAAGCATTATGCATCCCCTGCCTCCCTCCCATCATCAAGAAATTGTTATTAGTAGGTATGTTGGTTGCATCTCGAAAATAATACTGACCATAACCACCACTAATAAATTTTTATCACCGGTTTTTAAGTACCTATATATGGCAATATTGTATAGATATTACATTTTCCAGCTACCTACTAAAGTTTGGTAATAGGGGCATTTACATTATGGGCTGGCTTGTTTTGTCTCGGGTATAGGTAACTTTCAGATAATTTATTATCATATTTTTGGAAACAATTTTTTCTCATTTTTGTCTTATACTCTTTTATTGCTGATTTCGCGCTTATACGAGTACGAGTAATATATTTATAAGTATATACTATAATATAGTATATATATATATATATATTATATATTATGTGGCTTGTGTCATATCATATATATACAACACAAAACATAGTGTTATCTTGCGGAACATCGTTCACAGTCTTAAAATTAATTAGAACATCGAAATTATAGGTATACCTGTTTAAATTTGGATTTTTGATAAAAACAGTTTAATTGTTATGTAAGGCCACGCCACGTATGTATGCACAGTGAAAACATAAACTACAAACAAGGACTAAAAAAAAATGTTATACGTGTTTGGTGTTTATGTTAATTCATATTGTACCTACCATATTTATACACATAATAATACAGTTGAGCGTTATTCCATATTAGATGTTTTTTGTAAAAAACCTGCTCTGTCACATATTTTAAAATCTTCCGGTAAACCATCTCCATTTTTTAAACCATTTTATCATGACAAGTACACTATATGTTCGGTGACACACATTATTAAAATAATGATTATGTTAAACGTTGGTAAGTGGTTATTACTCGTTTTATGGTATTATCAAAAAATACAAATAATCAAACACGGTCGTTTTTGAGAAAATATATTGTTATAAATAATATTGTATCTATTGTATTTGTGTATTATATATTATAATCACATTGATCTTGAAGAACCAAAAAGTGATTTATTTTTACTACGACGTGATATGAAATTGAATTCTAATCATGATATACGAAAATATATTATAATAATTATATTAAGACACTAATAAGACAATATGATGGMAATATAGATGCAGAGTTTATCCCCACCATGATAAATATAGATAATAATCGTCATGGATCGAGACTGTGTTACAAACCTTGGTAAAATTTTCAAGTTTCTGAGCATCAACAAAATATAAGCAAAACAAGAAGCAAGCCAGGCAACAGGGCGTATCGCAAAGATGCAGTTTCGTGACCACATTGAAGTACTAATAACATAAATATATTATTTTTGCGTATAGCATTGTTGTTTTCTTTTTAGATCTCTGAAGTCTGAACAGGATGGCCTACGGAAACGAAAACATTTCAAGGGCCAAAGCCATTGTTAACACGTGTTCAAAATGGAATATTATGTAAAAAGTAGTCTCAGATCAGAGGTTCAGCCCCCCCCCACCAAAAAATCTATTATACGAGAATTAATTTTTTTATTTTTACTAATTGTCGACCAAATAAATGTAAGCTAAAAAAATTCGAGCATCCCCAAAAAAATCCAACCAAATCTCCAGATTCTGATTTCAGTCGTCAGACAGCTGCAAAAATATCGCAATAATATATTTCCACCAATGATCCAAACAAGTTCTTTAAAGATTTATATAAAGCTATATTGGTGTTATATGGTCATATGGTCATTTACTATTAGTATGACGCAACTGATTGAGCGAAGTGCATCCTCACGATACGGCGCCTATATAGGTCGTATGACATCCACGACAACTACTGCAGCAAAAACAAGTAAAATGTTTAGTACTTACACGTAAATCTTGTCCGAGGATCGGTGAGGCGACCGTCGAACAGGTGCCGGCCCAGAACCGAAGCCGGGTCCAAGCTCTTTCGTCTGTTAGCTCCATAACTCTGGCGCCGGGCTGCCGACGAACGCCTCCTGTTGTCCGCTGGCACGGCACTGTAGCTGGCCCGCCGGCTGTCGCTGTAGCTGGGTCGCCGGGCGTCCCCTTTGGTAGACGCGTACGACAATCCCATCATGCCGAAGAAGTTCTTCATGATGACGACTCGCGTGCGTTCAAGTCTCCGTTAATCTGTCTGTCTGTATTTTTTCTTCGGTCGTTCGACGTATCCGCGCCCGTCTTCACTTCGTCTTCGCCGATATAGAGACAGGATTCGCAGGATACTACGACGATATATTATATATCACGGTGGCGACGATAAAGGCGATCGATAACGATCGATATTATATAACTCGGTAGATTTATAGATCATCGGCGCAAAAGAGATATATAAACGTTATACAATAAAAATGATGATATAATTACGATGATATAAACGAGTATCGTTTTGAATATGGTCACCGACGCTGATAGGCACACTGTAGCCRGTCCGCCGAAATTATTTCGATTGAAGGCGGATCGGTTATATCATCGAAMATGTATAATACTGTTACACGATTCGTTATTATTGGTGATCATTGATTTTATATTGTATCAATAACCGTCGGCTGGATGGCGCGTAAAGAACATATCATATCATTAACGCGAGTATGATTAATAACAATAATGTTAACGGCAGTAGGCCAGTGGGTATTGACGACTCACCGGACCGAGCAAACTCCCACTATTTTCCGGTCGTCTGGGAACCCCTACTCGAAAAAATACGATAAAAAAATTTAAAAACCACGCACAGAGAAGATGTAACAAGTGTGCGCACGCGTGTGTTTGTTTTTTCTGTTCAATTTCACGAAGGTCTTGGACATCGGAGGTCGCGACCACGATCGTGGCAGAAAACCAGACCGCCGTCGCCGCCGCCAGCGCGCGCGTTTCACAATCAATCCGCGTGCAATCGGATACGACCTAGGGGAGGTTACTCGGACGTGATTYCGATGAGAACCGTCGGATATTTTCTAAACGTCCTTGGTCGCGGCCACCGTTTGGCTCGGGACTTATACTTCTTGAAAATCACTCTGGTGAGTATATAATATTATACATAAATTATATTAGGTATATCATATAATATATTTTTGTATACATTATTAGGTAAACATGTGTATATAATATATTCATACGGAACGCGTAGGTACAATATGATTTCAAAACTTGTGTAACAAACGAAAAWTCGACTCAATTTCAGCGTGATGATGGTATGCGAGATATAAAATGCGCTGATTATAAGATTGTACAAGAATTATTACGAAAATAAATAGATTYAGCGAGTATTCATATATATTACATTAAATTAATAGTTATTATATTTACATGCATTGTAGATATCTACCTACACCTGATATGTTATATCGTTGTTGTGAACGCACATCACGTCATGTCTGCTTAGTGATGTTTACTATACGCTGTTGATGTAGGTAGGTTAGACGTGTTTTAATGCCGTTTCATAGATACTCGCATTATAAATTATAATATTACAATAAACAGTACCTATCTTTTTCCGTGTGGTAATTTTATTGGTGTGGATGCAGGCACGGATCTAGAACACAGATCTTCTGTATTACAACACATCATACATACACATACATACACATACATACATTATATTGATTATAAATACGTGTTTAATATTAATATTTAATTATAGTCAATCGTCGTATAGGTAGTATCCAGTAGTAGACGTTTATATTTCTTGCGCGGGGGGGAGGGGTGGTGTTAGGCCACCCCTGTGCAGTGGATCTACGCGGAACAGGTTAAATAATATATTATACAGTTTTGTACAAATCGTTTTCAGGTCTCGTGGTAATGAATTAATATACTTATATAACTGCATAATATAGTTGATCTGGCTGCGGTCTGACACCAAATCCGCCTAATACCGGTCTCACGCTTAAAATATCTATCAGCCAATATATAGTGTTATGTTATGGTATAGAGTAGAAAAAACGTTCAAAGTTTCGCGCTGAAGTCACATATACATTGTATCAGTATGCTATAATATTATTATATTTAACCATTGTTGATTGCATTGAATCACGTTAAATCTGGTTTTACACAGTAACGGAATATTCCTATACCTGTATATAATCCGATTTGACATTATTCAACTAAAGGTACTGTTCGCTCGAATCGTGTCCTTCGTCTCTTTTTGCGGAATATAATAATAGCATACAACCCATACCGACCTACGTCGTGCCACCGACAGGTTTCATCCAGTGCGGATGAATGTTGAACTCACGTCGGGTTCGTTAATATTTATATTGTAGCATAATATTGTACAAAGAATCACGTGGTTTGTTATTTTATTTTTTTATTTTTTTATTAAACAACTATCCGCGGCGTCTATGGCCATTGGATGTAACAGTACTATTCATTTATAGTATATACGGTATTTGACAGAGTCGCGAAAATGAGATATGGAAATATTCAACCGCCAACCGTTCAAATATCCAATATTGTCTATATTATATAATGTACCTATAAGCTAATATAATATTAGTTTTATATATAAACCTCAATTATTTTGAATCGAAAAATCTTCGTCGACGCACCGCAACGATTCAGCCGACGATTGCAAGGTTATTATATTGGTACGTTTCGTGATTCAAGTATATATTATTATTATGTCTTAAGTGCAGGTGTATAATATATTAAAATATATATTAATATATTATATAAAATATTGTTATATACATATTATATTAATATATTTATAAAATATTATGTTATAAAAAATCTGATTATTTAATAGCTGYAGTTAAAGGTCAGTACCTCCTGCATTTGGTATAGGTATATTCGCAGTCATATAGTAACGTACTACTTAGGTATGGTTTTATAATTATTACGATTCCTTGCAATAATAATAATTATTGTTCGCACGTACA